TCTTCAGAAACCACTCACAGAAAGAATTCCAAGTTTCAATTACCGACCCAATTTTACCAATTTTTGGCCATACGTTTTTATATTATTGAAGGTTTTATACGTCAAAGTTTTGACATCTTTCAATCAGGCTTTGTTGACAGTTAATGGAAGTTTTGGTTACTTTTAGCTTTAAGCAGATGGAAAATACAGAAGATAATACCTAAAACAACGTTTCAAGCCATAACTATCTACTGTATTTACACTGCCGAATCGTGTTAAATGTATAAATCTGTTATTAAATTTTTCGATTTTTATCTGTAAAATGTGCTAACGTGTTCAGAAAGGTTATTCACAAGTTTTCAAAGTTCTTCTGTACAAAATATTAATTGAATAATTTATTTTTTATGTCACAAATTAAGTATACAGAATTGCTGGATTATCTGTTTAAAATTGCCTTTATAGAAATCTTTTATAATATAATATTAAATTTTATCCTGATTTGGCCATCTCTATTTAGCACATTAATATTTTAGCACACCGAACACAGTTTACGTTTTAATAGAGATGAAACAACATTCTTCTAAATTTTACTTAAGTACGTTAAGCATTTTTTGAAAATAGACTTACTTAGATATTATACTGTAGTGTTTTTATTTAAATTTGTGTTGTGAGAAATCAGAAATCGTGGTGCTTCCTCTTAGAAACTTAATACAGGAATTTATTTAGGTTATTGGGTGGACGAGTTGGTCATTGAAAGTCTTGCTTGCGAACTATCTTAACTTAAATTTGTTTCGCTTCGTAAGCCCTGTCCAGGAGATTAAATTGCTTGATTCTCAAACGTTTTTATATAAATAAATCCATAAAATCACAGTAAGATCAGATTTGACAAACCAACTTGGAAAGACAATCCGATATTGACGCTCCATTAAGCGAGTTAACGACTGGCAAATTGCTAATTGGTTCTATTAAAGAAAGAAATAAACCATTTATTGTTTGTAAATACAATTTTTTTTTTTAATTACGAAAAAACAATAGCGGTTTAAGGACTGGCATAAAAATTATTCTCTAATACTATTATAAATTTGAAAATTCTGTAAGATAGAAGATATCTTTCAGTTTTTTCTTTGTTTATTCCTACGTTTCAAACTCATTTCAATTTTCTTATTGCCGCTACTTTTAATTAATCATCATTATTCATTCACTGTACTGTCCATCAGTTCTCATCCTTGCCAACTTTCTTCGTTCTCCTTTAGCCATTATATTTATTTTTAGCCAGGAAATTACTAATTTACTCATTCAAGAGAAAACAATTGAAAATCACTTTAATTGTTGGATTAGCAATAAAAAATCGTTGGGTTTTCAATGTATTAATTTACTAAATTCACTAATTTCGTGGTCCGCTTGACCAATTAATATATTACAATTAATTAAGGTTTTTAGTTGAGATAAAAAAGTCAATGGAACGAGCGGGATTCGAACCCACGATCTTCGGCTTGATACTCCGCTGCTCTACCACTTGAGCTGTCGTGACCTCGATTCACTCGGACACTAACTTCTCATCTCAACCGCACCTTTTGAATTTTCCCTCCTTTTTGCCATTTTTCAAATGTCGTGCATTCGGAATGTATTCTCGATGACTAATGAAATGGCCACGGAGAGCTTTAGTGAAGTATTTTAAATTGAAAAATTGTGCCATTGACTTTTTTATCTCAACTAAAAACCTTAATTAATTGTAATATATTAATTGGTCAAGCGACCACGAAATTAGTGAATTTAATGATTTAAAATGAAGTATAGTTCACTAAAGCTCTCTGTGGCCATTTCATTTGTCGTCGAGAATCCAATCCGATTACACGACATTTGAAAAATGGCAAAAAGGAGGGAAAATTCAAAAGGTGGGGTTGAGATAGGAAGTTGGTGACCGAGTGGATCGAGGTCACGATAGCTCAACTGGTATAGCAGCGGCGTATCTAGCCGAAGATCGTAGGTTCGAATCCCGCTCGTGCCATTGACTTTTTTATCTCAACTAAAAATCTTAATTAATTGTAATATATTAATTTACTAACTCAACACGACACACAGCAATGACACATCTACACAGAAACAAACATTGAGCCCTGAAGATGATCTCAATTAAGATCGAAACGTTGGCACGATAAGAAAATGTTTTCTAAACCTACGCCACACCAGATTGCATCTCACGATCTCCAAATAAGTATTTATTTACTTAGCAAATCGAACCAACAATCTTTTGAATATTTTTTCAACAGAATTATTATCATAGCAGTAATAGTTTTTCAACTTATGCAGTTTTCGTTCATTTATAGATACTATATTTGCTTTTTTTTATAGCTAGGAAAAAATTGCTTAAAGAAGAAGCAAATTGTTTACTTTACAATTCCTTGGTGATTTTTATTACTATCAACACAATTGTACGAACTTAATACATACAATTGAATGGAAATTTTTTTTTCGTTTTTGGTTGTATCCGAACATCTTCAGTGTTTGTGTTCGTGCCTCGCCTTGTTATATTCCTGTCCAACAAAAAACCGACACGTTTCACGACTTAACTAAATCATCATCACGTTAGTCAAGATAGGGAAAAGGTCAAAAAGGGTTCGGCGTACGAAAATAGTAAGGATTGGCATACCAAAAATGTTGGGTACAGGCTAAAGGCCCAAACTACATGTTCACCCCGCAGACCCCGAGAGGAAATCTTACAATTGATTCTGTCCAAAACGAATGTGGTGTTGGATTTTTTTGAAATTATCTCCTCTGAAACATCTTGTAAAATTATTAAAATCCAAGTCGTAGTGGTTTCTTGACTAAGTCCATTGTTGGTTTGAAAAATTGAACAGTAGAATCTTTGGAAAGGACGAAGGGCTCCGGGCGACTAACGATTTATATTGATGAGCTTGTATTTATTTATTTTATTATTATTATATATACAGTTTTTTGTTTCAGGATTCCATTTACCCTCGGTCACCACGATCTTTTTTCAAAAACCAAGTCGTTCTCCTACTTCCAGGATACTTCCCAATATTATATTAATTATTTGTAACGATTTATGATAATACAAATTATCATTACAAAACCACAAGAGCGGAGAAACGGCCCAGTACTCCAATACTACATCGTATAAAGCATAATTTATCAGAAAGTTGTAGACATCACATAAAAGAAATTTTTTTTGCAAAGTGGTACACTTTACATTAAAAACATTTCTCCCAGGATAGTAGACTGCATCATTTAAAGCATAATGTATCACAAATTGAAAGACATCACATTAAAAAAATTTACCTTGGTGCGATTGATATCATCCTTGATATTATAATTAAATATAAAATATCTCTGATGCCTTATGGACTTGTCCTAGATTTTTTTACATAAAAAATGTTCACAGAGTATTTTTTATGTATAACATAACAAATATTCATCGCAAAATAGTAGACTAAAGCATAAATTATAGCAAAATGGTAGACAACATTACATAAAACAAACGTGGTAGACTACCTCACATGAAACAAAATTTATCGCTAGGTGGTGTCAAAGAAAAATTTATTACAAACAGGAATATAACTTATCAGCAAAATCTGTTCAGCGAATCCGCACCATCACAGATCAAAATACTTAAGTGAAAAACAAAAATAAGTAAACATTTTCTACAATCTTTTAAGAGCCCATGTTATGTGAGACTGTCATTTGTGAAGATAATTAACTTTATCGGGCAATGATCCATGCTGTTTTTGTAATTAGAAGGAGGTATTCATCACGAGCTTGTCCCTTATGTATATTAAATCAATATAAACATTAGTGCAAATAGTTAGAAATAATCTTTCAATTAATTATTCTTTGTATGTTAGGTCTTGGTTGAAATGAAAAAGTCAGCGTCACGAACGGGATTCGAACCCACGACCTTCGGCTCAATATGCCGCAGCTCTAATCACTTGAACTATCATGACTTCGATCCCCCCTGACACCAACTCCCCCATCTCAATCTACAACCTTTCGAATTTTCTCTCCTTTTGGCTATTTTTTCAAAGGTCGTGTAATCAGGTTCGATTCTCGGCGACATAAGAAGTGGCCACGGGTAGCTGTTAGCAAAGTTATACTTCGTTTTACTTATTAAATCCGTTATGTTTAGTGGTCTGAGTGGTCTGAGTTAGTGTCACGAACTGGGGAGTTGGCGTTAGGGTGGATCGAAGTCACGATAGCTCAAGTGGTTAGAGCAGTGGTGGATTGAGTCGAAGGTCGTGGGTTCGAATCCCGCTCATGACACAGACTTTTCCATTTCAACCAAGACCTTACATACCAAGAATAATTAATTGAAAGAAATAATTTGGTCAATCAGACCACTAAACGTAATGGGGTTAGAAATAATGTATGCAAAATTGACCCCCGAAAAGTTCCAAGTTTTGTTCTAGTCAAAAGTTTTGTTCCAGCTAGATAAACTGGTCACTTCCCGTCAAACCAAGGGAAAGATTTCACTAAATCTAATTTCCAGCTACAACCAAACATTACTTCTTCAGGTTATTACTTGTTTTAATATGAATTATTTTGTCAAAGGGAAAAAAATAGCTATTTTACACAAGAATTTTTCGAAGGAGAAACAGTGGCATGAAGGATTGGCCTGGTATAAAGATTGCTAATAGCAGATCAAAATCGGAAATATATACGTAAAAATATGAAATTTTTGTTGAAAGCCCATCATATTTTTCTTGATACACCCACTGGTGGTGTATTTATTGGTCCAGCGACAACACACACATCTCCGATATCTTTTTCAATAGAAAGCATAAAAAAAGTTTAATTGTTATCTAATTTGTAGGGAGGCCTGATTTCCCTACCGTGACTGCGCAACGGCCTATTCTGTTGTAAGTGGCCTCATAAAAGGCGGAGGAGGGACGCTCGGCTGCCTTTTTCTTCTTTCTGTGCCGACAGACGCATTAGACCTGCCTGAAGACTCAAAATCGGGCAGAAATCTTGAAAAGGGCTAACGTTTAAATTATATTCTGTTTTAGAATGCTACCAGAGGGTGGCCATTGGAAAGAGGCTCAAAGAGACTGATGTCAACGTCAACGTGACAGTCGCGACCGTCCGCCAGTGCGAGCAGGAGTGCGAGCGGTCAACCTGTCACGCCTTCAGCTTCGGGTAAGTGGTTTTTAGAACAATTTCAATTCAAAAGCACTATAATATATTACAAAAACAAAAGCGAACACAAAATAATTTGCTTTCATTAAGGTAGAGATAAATTATACTTTAAAAAAACCGTATCTAGAAGAACTTTATAAGAAAACGTTTCATTGGTCCTGACGTGTTAATTTTCATGCTGAACCGGCATTGGGTCATTAGTTTGGTCCGTCTAAACTCGGGTTTGTTGAACTACTCAAAAGCGTTTCGTCGCCATCTTCAGTGAGGAACTCTCTCGACTCGCAGACCAACACCTAGCATCAAGTATAATAGTATCTGCCATAGTGGATTAGTGTTAGATAAATGTTTGTTAAACAATGAGGTCTTAAATACATCATGTAATAATGATGTAATATACTCTAATACCTCAAAGTTGTCCCATTTGTTAAAATTTTCAATAAAGTCAATCCATTCAGTTCAATTTTCACTATTTTTTATATAAAATATACTTCAAATCATAAATATTGATTTAATTTTGTCAATTAGGGTGGCTTTTTATTCCTAGTGCGAATTAATCATCAAACCACAAATCTATTAAAATATTAATACACACTGAGCTGATTACACAGGAAACCCACATGTAAAAATTTATTCACATTTTTTTAAATTGTCTCTGTTTAAATCGATAAGTATGAACAGTGAAGCATGGCCGGAGTCAATCACTTTCTCGTTTTCTGGTCCAAGAACCACATCGTGGACGCGAAAGTGAATTTCCATGATTAGTTTCCCACTTCTAACAACCCATCGCATATTATCTCATTAATAGCCGTATTTTGGTTTTTATTCCATTCTTTTTTCTTTTGTTATTCCAGTCTTGCTTTAAGGCTAACTAATTAGATGCAACGTACATTATATAATTAAGATATATTTATCATCCAGAAAATGAAAAATGTTCAGCCTACTGTTTAAAAATGAACAAATATCCTTTTTGTACGTAATGTATGGATAGGTATAGGGATAAAAGAGACGGCCACAAGGCCTACTGCACCTCGAGATCTATTGTGCTCCCCTGTTATTTATAACTCACTGGCCAGCTTCAGCTTATTAACCAGCCTCCACAGTTTTGCCAGCGGTTCCTTGGTGTAGGATCTTGCTTGTGGCTTTTCTTGTCCTAGTTGAAGGAATCTGCACCTACATAGACCTCCACAGAAAAATAAAATATGTTCTGCGGTCTCCTCCGCTTCCTGGCCGTATTTGCACAGTGTTTCTTCTGTCTGTACTCCTATCCGGTGCATGTGCTTTCTTAAGTGGCAGTACCATATCCGGAGTCCAACCAGAATCCTGGTTTGTATGCGGCTGCCTTCCAGTAATTCTTTTGTAAGTTATGGGGATGGTCCTTCTAAGAATCTCTTCTCGTGCCTCATACCTGTGGTATTGTTCCACTCATTAAGGATCCATTTTAAGATATATCCTATTTCGAGGGCAGGCTGCTAGGCCGCAGTAGGGTTCTGGGCCCAGAGAGTCCATGTTAGCTCCCTTTTTGGCCAAGATGTCAACCTTTTCGTTGCCTCTATGCCCCGAATGTCCAGGGACCCATGCCAGGGTCAAGTGATTAATGTCGCTGACTTCCGTCAGGGCCTCCATGCAGTTCCAAACACTCTTTGCCTTTGCCTCGCATGAGGCTCTGAGTGCTTCCTGGCTGTCAGAGAAATTGGCTCCCGGCTTTCCGTGAATGTATGCCTAGCCTGTTTATTTCTCTGGCACATTGTTCAATCGCTATGATTTCAGCCTGGAAAACTGTAGCATAATTACCTAGGTTTACCGTCAGTTCGGTCTTGGGGTTCGTCCCAAAGAACCCCCCAGCTCCCGTACCCTTGTTGGTTTTGGAGCCGTCAGTATACCAGTAGGAATTTGCCTTTAGTAGTGTCCCTTTGGCCCATTCTTCCCGTTCTGATATCAGTACTTTGAACTTCTTGGTAGAGTTGTACTTTGGAGTAGTGGCATCAATTGGCAAACCTAGAATGGCCTCTTCCTGTATCTCGTCCCTCAGTTTCCATTATTTATTTACACGGCCTATCCTATTTATGAGACTATGGGTGCCTTGTACGTAATGTATAATCGAATGATGTATAATCAAATCTAACGGATAAATAAATGTAAATTATATGTGCACAACGATACAGATGTAAGTGAGACAATTATTGTTTTATACCTCACTTTCCCAAAAAGATCTGTGTTGGTATTAATTTGTTATAAATCAAAAATTTATCTACAATTATCGATCTTGCTTTTCTCCATTTATGAACAGTCTGGAGCTAATTTAAAAATATATACATTTCAATTTTTAATAATGTAATAACGAAAAGCGAAAATCGTTTCAAATAATGTAGCTTGGTCGTTTTCAATTTGATCTGTCTGCCCAAAGAAGATAGCAAGTTGGTCAGGGTTATAAGCAGGTTGGGGCATCAAATCGATCGATGGTTCTACTCCGCGGCTTTAGATTTTAATCAAACAAGTTTCAGTTTCACGCTATCACCCATGAGGAACAGACAAAATGATCCAGTTAACGTTTTGACCCTAGGTCGATTTATTGTATATTGCTTTGCCATTTTATTAATCATTATTATTTACAATTAATCTTTATGTAAGATATTGGTTGAAATGAAAAAGCTAGTATCACGAGCGGGATTTGAACCCACGACCTTCGGCTAAATACGCCGCTGCTCTACCATTTGAGCTATCGTGACTTCGATCCTCTCTTTCACCCATTTCCCATCTCAACCCACCTTTCGAATTTTCCCTCCTTTTTGCCATTTTTCATTTCAACAAATACCTTACATAAAGATTATTAATTGAAAGTAGTTATTTGGTAAATCGGACCACGAAATATAATGGATTATTTAAAATGATTTAATTGTGAACTATATTCTTCCCATTGTATTGGCTGGTCCTAATAAAATTACATTGAGTCTAGCGGCAAACAGATAATAGTCATTTACGGTCATTTTGGTCATACCAACTTGACTTTGGACGCGTTTCGGCATTTCGTCATCAGAGGTCTGCCAGGGTTATAAGCAGGGTGAAGCAATGATATAACGAATATAAATCTACCACTGAAGAATGCGAAAATATAAACTATTTAGTAACATAAGTAGATGATTTGCAAATTGATAGTCTTATCGGCTGCTTTGGATGCTTTCGGCATTCATCATCATCAGTCGGTCAGGGTTTTAAGCAGGGTTAAGCATTGATATAAACCTGCCACTGAAAAATGTGAAAAGTGTGAACTAATATACGAAATTCTTATTCTTATTCTTACCATTGCGATCTACATGGTCCATTGTTGACCACTACCATTTATTTTTCATTAATAATTACAATGACAGTTTATAACCTGATTTTTTTTCAAATGTGGTACAAAAATAAACTGTTCTAGTGTATTAACAAACAAAAAAGATAATTTGTAGTTGGGGGACGTTTCCGATCATTCTGGTGATCCTCGCCTAGCTGGTTTAAACGCATTTTGGCTTTTAACATCATTAGTCGGTCAGGGTTATAAGCAGGGTGAAGCACTGATATAAACCTACCACTGAAGATTGTGAAAAAAATAAACTATTGTTGCGTTAGTAACATAAGCAGTTTTGTAAATTGATCGTCTTATCCGTGCTTTGGACGCGCTTGGCATTTCGTCATCATCAGTTGGACAGGGTTATTAGTATGAAGAGCAAACGTAAACCTACCATTGAAGATTCTGAAAAGCCGAATCACGTCAACCGGCCAAAACAGACCAGGAAGTTCGTAAACGACCAAGCAGGTTCATTACCCCGAAGTCCTCAAGAGGAAGCGTCACAATTTCTAATCACTTATATTTAGTGAATAAATAATGACACAAAACACAATGTTTTATGAGAACGAGTCATTTAGTCTTAGAAACAATAAACTGTCTATTTCTGTTAATAAAAAATTATTAAGTGTATATAGTAAATAAAAAATATGACATTCATGATTCAGTAAAATAAATAAAACATTCGTTCTTATATTAAAAACATTGCACCATTTTATAAAACACTATTGCAGTGATCAACGTCGCAACTGAATTTCTGCATGGAGATCCACTTTTTAGGATAGGACACGGGCTGTCTATAAACGTCTTGTAAGCAAATAAATCAGTAAATAAAATACGATCCGTCGAATCGTAATAGACTCCCCAGATTGTACTGCTAAGCAAGAGAGGAGTGCCCGGTATTAATCTACAGTTCCTAAAACGTTTGTGACTCGGTGTGCAAATGAAACTGCACTCCGAAAGATTTTCTTTAATGTCTATCTTCGTTTTTTCCACGTTCCACTTGTTATTGATTTCCGTCAAGTTGACGTACTTCCATTCTTTCTTGAGAAAGTTTTCGTCTTCATCGTAGTCAGTAAGCTGTTCGTCGATGGAGTTGTTTGGTGCGAAGGAGAATGGGTCCGTCGAAGCTTGCCGTTCGCCCATACGGCCAGCGAACGAAGGGAGAAAACAGTTTTTCTGATAGTCTATTTTCAAACTGACGCGCACCAAATCGTTCTTGTCGTTCTCAGATTTAAAAAAGGTCTTATAATCCGACTCGCTGTCCGAAATTTCGAAGCAAGGGGTGTGGAGAATCGGTCCGGTCAAAAGGTCTCTGGGCAACACGAGATAAGCCAAGTTGTGGCTAAATCTACTATTTACAAAAGTGCATTGGGGGTGTTCGCGGATTTCGACAGGGTTCACACTGATATTTGTCCCTATTTCTGTCACAAAAACTTCACTCGTCGACAGACGGTTCCAACTCGCGGGGTAGTTCATCACGCATTGACATGTCGTCAAAACCCTGTGTCCAAAAATACGTGTCCCCAAACAGGTTATTTCTGGTAAAAGCGGAGAGCTGACGTACAACATAAATGGACTGTTCAAGGATCGACTCTTTGTCACCGTGAATACGAGGTTAAAAAACGATAGTATGTAAGGCTTAATAATCATACCTCTTATATGCATAAAATATGTTAAGCGGATTAACTGAGCTTTTCGATGAATACAAGTAAAACAATCAAGCTTACCGAAACGTTTAGAAAACCCAATGAAATAAACTCATGTCTAAACAATGATTTTAATTCATATCATATATGGATTGTTGAAAGAATCAACTCATCATATGACACAAAAGAGAGTTTAGATTAATTAACATGTGATTTTATTAAGAAAAGCAATGGTACACTGTTACTACTGCCCGGTCATTGACCATAATATCTAATGTACAATTCTGATTAAATTACAAATCATAAAATTCATAATCATGAACTCTTGCCATCATCACTAGGTATCTTACTGAAAGCAGGGTGTATTACTTTTCTGATATTTAACAGCAAATAACAAAAATATATTATACTCAATTTTTTCAAAAATATATTCCTATACTTCAATAAATTCACTAATTTCGTGGCCCGCTTGTCCAATTAATATATTACAATTAATTAAGGTTTTTAGTTGAGATAAAAAAGTCAATGGCACGAGCGGGATTCGAACCCACGACCTTCGGCTTGATACGCCGCTGCGGTTGAGATGGGAAGTTGGTGTCCGAGTGGATCGAAGTCACGATAGCTCAAGTGGTAGAGCAGCGGCCTATCAAGCCGAAGGTCGTGGGTTCGAATCCCGCTCGTGCCATTGACTTTTTTATCTCAACTAAAAACCTTAATTAATTGTAATATTCCTATACATTATTCCAAAAAATGGAAGATTGTGGATCAGTGGTGCCCGGTTAACACCGTTTAAACCCTCTCTTTCTTTACTTTTTTTTCTCTTTCTATGGAAAGTAAATGTGGTGTATTTTAATAAATTATTCATGTCTTTTCTTGACTGGTTTTCTCACATTTTTCATGCTCTTGTGTATGTCTTTTATTTCTGTTTTTCTTTTTTTCTACTTCTCACTCACACTCTATGTCTATCCCTGGGAATAATTTTGGCTGACTTAAATCAGTTCTTGGTTAATTAGTTACTTTCCTCTCTCTCCAACTTTTTCTCTTTCTCATTCAATATTTCTGTCTTTCTCTTCTCTTTCTCACTCTTTTTCTTCTCATTCACTCTCTGTCTTCTCTTCTCTCTCTTTCTGTCCCTTTCTCACTCACTCCTTTTTTCTTTCTCTTTCCGTTTTTTCTCTCTTTTTGTCGTTAGTTGTTCTCACCCAATAGCTCTCTTTTAACCTCACTCTTTAGCACGTATGCATAGATCTTTAAAATTCCATCCTTCTCTCTCTCTCTCTCTCTCTCTCTCTCTCTCCCTCTCTCTCTTTCTCAGTGTTATAAATAAAGCATTTCAATTTAATTTTGTTTCCCTTCTCTTTCTGACTCTATATCTTTCCCTTCTCTCTCAAACTCTTTTTCTCCTCATTCACTATCTCTGTCTTCTCTCTCTTTCTGTCCCTCTATCACACTCTCCTTTTTTTCTTTCTCTTTCTGTCTCTGTCTCTCTCTCTCTCTCTCTCTCTCTCTCTCTCTCTCTCTCTCTCTCTCTCTCTCTCTCTCTCTCTCTCTCTCTCTCTCTCTCTCGTTAGTTGTTCTCACCCAATATCTCTCTTTTGACCTCACTCTCTAGAACGTGATTGCAATGATCTTTAAAAAAATTTCTTTTTCTCTCTCTCTTTCTTATTTTCTTTTTAATTTACTATCTTTGTTTTCTCTAATCTCTCCCTAATTTTCTACTTTTCATTTACTATCTCTTACTTTCTCTTCCCTTTCTTTATCTGTCTTTCTTTCTCTCCTTCCCATTCATTTATTTTTTTAACTTCTCTCCCTTTGTTTGTCTTTTTCTCTGTTCATCTCTTTTTTTCTCCCTCTTTCCCTTTCTATAACTCTCTTTGTTGTCAGGTCATCCCTATCGCTCACTATCTCACTCTCTAACATGTGATTGCAATAATCTGTAAAATTTACTAGAATTCTACAAATAGATTCCTCTCTTTGTCCTTCTATCTCCCCTTTTCTCTCTAACTATTTATCTCTATCTCAATTTTTCGTTGTCCATCTCTCGGACATGTGATTCCATTAATCTGCAATCTCTGCTTTAATTCCCTTCCTCTTTATTTCTTTCTCTGTGTTTTAAGCTCTGTATTTATATTTATATTTCAATTTCTCGTTTTCTATCTCTCCAGCAAGTTATCACATTAACCTGTAAGGTACAGTTAAATTATATGAATTTCTGTATTTTATTCAAACCATGTCGGAAAATTTTAAAGAAAGTAGAATGTAAAAAGTTGTCTAAACGCTGACTCGGATCGGACTTCGTGTTTCAGCAGGAAAGGAGTAGAATGGTCCTGGTCATTTAGGAAGTGGTAATTTTAACGTCGCTCGTGAATGATACACGTACATAAAACTGTTGGAGAATCGAGGGCAGAATGATAGAACAATTCCCCTCCGATGCAATAACCCTATTTGAATAAGCAGGAAGCCCTCTTTAAAAAACACCGTTACATGGGATTTTCATATTATTATATTATAAGTTCCGCTACCGCTGAGTCTAATTAGGCCGATTCTGCACTAGGCATACCAGGCACTGATTAACCATGGCAAGTCAAAGATTCCCACAGTAGTTGTAATGCTTAACTAAGCCGATACTTAGTATAAACTAAAATACACCGGCAGAAGGTGAAAATAAACATATGTTTATTGAAATAAGAAATGAAGAAAAAATCGTAGCAGTTTTTATGTTGGATGCCAATTGTTAACCATGTTTTAGTACAAAATCATCCAAACCTGATTGACATTTTGCAGAAAAACTGGATAGACCAGAGGTTTCAGTTGCTGACTAATTCTTTAGACCAGCAGTAATTTCTGATTTTAATCGATTTTCAAAAGTGCAGTACCTACCATTAACAGACTAAAACAGCGAGGATAGGCGGACCAGAATGATCAGAATACCTTAGCTTTTACCTTGATTTTCTATCACAACGCAATTTATATTTTCATTGTGAAATGTTAATGAAACTTTAACTAGAAAAGGCTATCTATCACAATGCAATTGGATTTAAACGCCATTCCGCAATTATGAAAGTGAACTAAATTAATTGTCACACATTTTTTTAGGCCACGTCTAAAATGTAGTTGTAGCATCGTACTCACACTGCTTACAGTTAAGCCCTAAATTATATGTACAGATGCTTCTCATTCAGCCTCTTTTCTCGTCATTTATTTGTAATTAGCTATTGGCAACGGTTCCCCTGGTAGGGTATCAAATTCAGTTAGGTTACCCAAGGGCGATTCGAATGGATTTGCTAGAGCTTGCTTGCTACATCCTTGGCTCGTCCACACCTGCCCTAAATCCTCGAACCACTTCTCACAAGTCTGACCTTTCTTAGCGAAGGATAAGATCGGTTTATCCGCACTTCCCCATCACTTTTCTGCCCGATTAGTGAGTAAAGTAGGATGCTTCGTTTATTTAGCTCACTTTTTTTCTTTTAAAGTAAATGTAAACGAATAGTGTTAATTTACGCTCATTTTTATTGTATAAACAGTATTTTAGCTTCCGTCCAAAATTTTCGCTAAGACATTAGTGATGAGTTGATTAACGAATAAATATTCAAATGAACTAACGAATTAGTCGAGGATTGATCAATTGAACGTTATGAGATAATTCGTTTTTGCATTCATCCTTTTTAAATAGTAGATGATTTATTTTCTAGAAATATTGAAATTAGAATTTAACTTTTGTTTATCGTAAACTTACATGTTTCATATAGGTAGAAAATTGTTATATTCCCACATTTAACTCTTTTCAAAACTTCAAGTGTATTATAATTCTGAATATTTTACCCTCCATCGCCTGCTATTTTTGGCTCTGCTGGTCTGTCTTTCTGTCTGTTTTTCTGTCTCTCTCTCACTCTGTCTGTCTGTCTCTCTCTCTCCCTCTCTCTCCCTCTCCCTCTCCTTCTATGTTTCCATCTCTTTCTTCTGTCTGGTAGATAATTACAATTATTTCCTTATTTCTCTTCTCTCGCTATCCCTTCAGCTTTTTCTGCTTTTTACTTACTCTCTGTCTCTGTCCATCTCTTACTCACTCATAATGTGGCGCTTTTTATGAGTTTTTGGTGTCTTTTTTTGGCTGGTTCTTTTTTCATCCATGGCGTTGGTTTATTGGAGATAATACGATTTCTTCAATTATTTTCCTCTTTCTGTTGGTCACTCTTTCTCTCTATGCATCTTTTACACCTTCTCATTCATTATCTATGCTTTTTCTTCTGTCTCTTTCTGACCATCTCTAACTTACTCCGTCCATCCCTCTCTCTCTACCTTTCTCTCTTACTTTTTTTTCTTCTTCTCATTTCTTATCACTTTCTTTATATTTTCTCCTTTTCATTCACTGTCGCTGTCTTTCTGTGCTCTCCTCTCTCTCCCTTTCAATTTCTTTCACATTTTGTCTCTCTCTGTTTGTTATTCTATCACGTGATTGCGATTCTCTCTCTCTCTCTCTCTCTCTCTCTCTCTCTCTCTCTCTCACACACACACACACACACACTTTCTCTCTCTCACTCTCTCTCTCTCTTTCTCTTTCTTTCTTTCTTTCTCTCACTCGCCCAACTTTTGTCTCTAGCTCTTTTCGCTCTCTGGAGTGTAATAGAATTAATCTGTTTACATTTTACAATATTTAATTATAACATTATTGATTACTACGTTAAAAGATACATAGAAAGATTGTTTTATTAAAACTATTTACGATAGTAAAAACTAGTAAAAAGTTGACATTGTAAAAGCAAAAATTGAGTTATTTTTTCAAACTTTAAAACAAAATTGATTAATAATACAAAAATTCTTACCACTAGCGTAGGGACAAGTTAAGTCTACGTAATTATATTTATAATCAGTGCATACGTGCAGTTTTTAAATTTTATTCATTAGGTTTATCGTTTTGATTTGAGTCATTTTTGTTTCCAGAGTTAAACCTGGAGGAAACGGGACCTGCGAGATATCGGAAAAGAAACCCGAGGCAGATCCAATTCCAGATGTGGAATACGACCTGTTTTACAAAAATTCTCAATGCCTCAATAAAACCTGTAAGTTAGATATTTATTCAACACATTTAAAAAATAATAATAACACATTTAAGTGATAACTAACAATAAAATAAATAATTTAAAGGATAAATAGTTTTAACTTCAAATCGTACTTAAAATTCTAACATAAAATATCGAAGTATGTCGAAGCATTTTGTTTCGCCTGTATTGCAGGGTTTTGCCGATTCGCCTTGGAAAAGTCAATACGCAAGCCCGATTCGGTTGTTTAACGCCTTGAAGGAGAAAGAAAATTCAATATTAGATTATCTAGTTACAAAATGCAAAAATAGAACATTAATTCAATGATAATTAATCGTGTAAAGAAAATTGTTAAGGATTCATTGTTTAATTTTAAACAATTAGATTGTAGTTGTTTTATAATAGTACACGCTTATTAAACGCATTATTTGTTTACTAAATAAAAAACGGAACATAGTTTTCATTTTGTCCTAGTTTTTCTTCGGCGGATAGAATAGGCTGACCTCGGACTATCCATTGTTCCCCTGTATTTAATGTCTTGTTACGACACTTTTTTCACATTTTGACTTTAAATTAGAACAAAAGGCACCAATATTCAGACTAACAAGAGAATAAAATTAAATAAAATGCAATAAATAAACATAATAAATTTAAAGGGATTTAAATGGACTTTAGTCATATTCATTGATATAATTTTGTAAAACTTACACGAACAATTCTAGTTGATCACATTAACAACATTGATATTTACTACGAGGAACTAAAAAAACTGAAATCAGTACAGAAAAGTATAACTTGCACTGTACAAACCGAACACGACAGAACAAAAACAACTAGAAATCAGGCTTGTTAAAATTACGTATATGAAAAAAATACACATACATAAAAACTCATACGAAAACAACACTTCAACAGGAGGAAAGTTATCAACTTATTAACAAATCAGACATGTTTACTTTTTAAATACTACATAAAAGGAATGGAAACGACAAACGCAAAGGACTGGAAGGACCAGCCAAAAGACTAGGATGAACTAAAACCACGCTGGTTCCCTGCAGACAAGAAACTTCCTAATAATTATGTACAAAAGGGACTAACGTAAAGTAAACTCTCCAGTGAGGATGGCGAACACACGTTTTATAGACCAAAATAGCGAGGTTATGAGCAGGATGACCGGAAATGATCAAACTACAGGTTCATCACCCTGCAGACTTCAAGAAGAAATTTCATAATTTTTCAAACAATTTCTAGTTAAACTAAACATGTGAACCCTAGCACTGTAGGTATCGAAAAACAAAATTCCGTCCGGTATACTAGAATAGTGGAGACAGGATGTTCAGAAAGACCAGAAATGACCAAAAAACTAGATTTATCACCCTACACCTCTCAACAAAAAACTTCATCTGCAATTATTAAAAGTGTTCAAAAAGCCACTGGAGTAAATTGAACACGAGCACACCTTATAATAAATATTTATAAAAAAGGTACTCTATTGAAATAAAACATGTGAACGTGAACGTAAACTTTTTTTAACGAGGGTTCACAATAGCAGAGGTCATATCAACCCTCGGGGTGCCAGTGTTTTTGAAAAAAAGCCCATTTTTAAGGATGATGGGTTCGAATGCAGGGCCGCTGGATTCGAACCTGGGACCTTTACCTTACAGTGTCAACGCCTAAACCGTTGCGGCCACCGACGCCAAATAGGAAAGGATTAAAATACAAGTTCATCACTCAACAAGTTTCAACTAAGAACAACATAAATAATAAATTCATGTTTTCAAAAAAGGCACTCGAGTAAAGAAAACTTGAACCCACCACTGAAGATGGAAAAAAGCAGAAACGCATCGAGTAGATAAAATAGCACTTATAGACGCACCAGGTTGACTGAAAATGGCCAAACCCCGCACCCTTCAAGAAGAAAACTCTTAAGTAATTTTTTTTAAGTTGCCGGAGGGAAGTAAACACGTAAGCCCACTAATGAAAGTGGAATAAAGCAGAAACGCGTCCGATAGGTCTAACCATCGAGATTAGGTAGACCAGGTTGACCGGAAATGTCCAAGCTAAAAGTTCATCACCCTGCAGACCTCAACGAAAAACCTTTTATTTAAATAATAAATAGGTATAGTTCAAATAGCCATTTGATTAAAATAAAAAGGTGAATCCGCTCGTGAAGTTGTCATAAAGCAGAAAGGCAACGGGCAGACAAAAACTGCTGGGTTAATCGGACCAGGAAAACCTCAACCATTTCTATTTAAATTTAAAAATGTACTGTTGTATAAAGCCTATCAGAACTTGAAAAACCTACGGCAAACAGACATACCACTGAAGATGGCGAACGCCCACATGTGTCAGATAAGGCAAAATTTAGGAAGACCAGGATGACCGGACTGGAACAAACTACAGGTTCATAACCCTGCAGACTTCTAGAAGAACTCTCATAAATAATATTTAAAAAAAAAACCTCGAATAAAGTAAACACATAAACCTACCACTGAAGATAGCGAAAAGCAAAAACGCGTCCGACTGTCTAAATTAGCGGGGATTGGCGAACCAGGAATTGCTAAAACACAGATTCGTAACCTCGCGGATCTTACAAAAATTCTCGTCGGGCAGAGACGGACCACGATGATGACTACTAATGAATGATGACTTCTAATGAAGAAGCTAATTAATAAATTTTTTAAAAAAGGTACTCGGATAAAGTAAACACATGAAACCATAAGTGGCGATGCAAAACACAGAATTTGATAGTGATGATCGTTACTACTAATATTTACTTCACTACTTTAGTGGTCCGCTTGACCAATTAATACAAGACAATTAATTAAGGTTTTTAGTTGAGATGAAAAAAAGTTAATGGCACGAGAGGGATTCGAACCCAAGACCTTCGGCTAGATACGCCGCTGCTCTACCACCTGAGGTCACGATATCTAGCCGAAGGTCGTGGGTTCGAATCCCTCTCGTGCCATTAACTTTTTTTCATCTCAACTAAAAACCTTAATTAATTGTCTTGTACTAATATTTACATTTACGGACGGTTTAAATTCGTTTGTTTAAAGCCAATTAGATCTAGAAAAAAGATAGTCGAGAAGGAAAGAGACGGACTCACAAGAATGTCAAAAAGCTGAAACGCGTCTGACAGATCTAACCAGCAAGACTAAGCAGACCAGGATGACCGGAAATGACCAAATAAAGGTTCATCACCCCGCACACAGTTCTCAACCAAAAGTTTTACAATTTGACATTTTAATGTTTGACGGTGTCATCGTAAAAAAAAGATTTTGGCCAGCTTTGTCAAGATGCAACTTATAGTCTCGAGTCATTATGATTGATGAACTTGTCCACACACTTGGCTTGTAACCTTCCTTTGGTTCCTGTTGTGTAATTTCTGTCAGTTACGATTAAATAATTGAATTGAAAAAATAACAAGAATAACGCTCTTCGCTCTGTTGACCTTGTCATTACAAATATTGTACGAGGATGAGCAAGAATTAACATAGGGATAATTACACGAGTCCTTGGGTATTCGCTAGCGGGGGAAATGGGTCAGCATGCTAATGCGCTTCCCGTATTTGTGCGATGTTTATTGCATTCCGTGTAATTGCTTTTGTTTCGTTGTTTGATCTGCTCTTTGTACAAAAGGTTAAAGGTTAACTATTTCCGACGGTGCTTAATTCCCGTGTAAAATAGTATTTGGCATAATAAAATAGGTTTTTTTTGTTTTTGCGTAAACTATATCAAAATTATATAATGAATTACTATCCGATTCTCATGGCTTCAAGAGCGATGTGACCAGGATGTTTGAATTTAATCAAAACTTCCAAATAAACTTAGGTACCAAAAACGAACGGGAACGAGTGGAAAACACCTCCTTTAAGAACGGCACCATCTTTTGGTAGGCAGATAGATCTAGAACACAAGAAGGTACAAGGGTAGGAGTTTTCGGTCCTGGTACCAAATACTCCGAACTTAAATACACTGGTATTTAAGCTCCAAGCTGAGGTCTATACAATCGAGAGATGTACTCAATTCAATTTGAATAAAGGTACAAAAACAAGAACATAGCTATCATGTCAGATAGCCAAGCAGCTATCAAAGCACTAAGCTCAAACATCATTAGTTCAAAGATGGTATTGACCTGCAAAACCAAATTAAACATATTAGGTACGCAGAACAAAGTTAACCTCTACTGGGGACATGTGGGAGTAGAAGGCAACTCAAAATCGGACACCCTTGTCAGAAAAAGGGCTGCTATACCGCTGATAGGACCCGAACCCTTCTGTGTCATAGGAGCCCACATTATGAGTACCTCAGACAGAAGGATAAAAAGAAAATGAGGGAACAATGGAACTCATTGGACACAGGTAATCCTCTCCTAACGAATTTCGGAAGGAAAGAAGTGACAGAATGTATCAAAAGAAGAAGGAAAAACTGACAGGACTCTTTAACAGGACACTGGAAACAAAATGGACATTTAAAGAAGATTGGTATAACTCAAAACAGCATGTGCAGATTCAGCTAAGAAGCTGAGGAGACACCAACACATTTTCCCGCAGAAAGAAGAGCGTTGGGACGTACAATGGGTCCGTAGAAGAAATCCAACCACCGAGGTCTATTAATCCAATTCTTGATGAAATAGGACCCACCGGTGTGCGATAGGCACAGAACGGGTTATGCAATAGTTCTTAAAGAACGCAGTACATTACACACCCCGACCAATACATCTACAACTACATCTATATCTACATATCAAAATTATAGGTTAAGACAGGATTTTGGTGCAATAAACACTTTCAAAACGTGAAAAAACCTCGAACTGGGCAAAAACCTGTAAAAATCTCAAAATCCCGCAAAAAAGTGTAATAAAGATAAAAACTTCCATTTAGTACAATAAATTTTTTATTTATATAATGAAGTGGGAAGTTTATGGGCCGACAAACAGCTGAGGTCATCGCCGACTCTCCGCATGTTTTTCTTCTTTTGCGCATATTTTGTTTTAAACTGCAGCCATTTGAGCGTCT